CACTGCCGCCAACATCCATGACCACCTGGCCGCCACTGTCCCCCCCCCATCCTGCGCACCCGCTACAAGTGGGGTTTTCGAAAAGACTTCAACATTCCATACGGCGTTGTCCACCTCAAGGAGAAGAAGCACTGGCAAAAAGGCCGTACAATTATCTCATACTTCCAATCACTCAGTGGCAACCTGCTTCGCATTACCAGCCGTGCCCTTGACATCATCCTCCAACACCTTTACCCTCAGCATCCCGGCCAAATGTCCATTCCCCAACTTTGGCACCATTTTCACAGCTACCTCACCCAAACCCCACCAGACATCTCACTACACGCCACCAACGATGACCTGGTCGGCTTCTTCAACTCAGTCCCACAGCACCGACTCATCGATGCGGTTCACTCCCTCGTCCACCACTGGCAACAACAGCAACCAACACACACCCTGACGGTGGACGTCCAGGCCACCGGCAATCCTTTCCACCACTCCCACATTGGCAGGCACCATCGCAAACACCCTACCCAACGTACCATCCAGACTTCCGACATTACCACCATCGTGGCTTTTGCCCTCAACACATGCATTTTCCGGGCTTGCAACAACACTTACAAACAAATCCGAGGGGCTGGGATTGGATCCCAGCTCTCTCCAGCCCTATGCAACGTTGCTATCACCCTCATTGAGCACTCCTGGCATCAGATACACAACAACCTCCTTCAACACACAGACCTCCACTTTACTTACTATCGCTATGTTGACAACCGTTTCATTGTCCACAACGAACATTTCCTTCAGCACCCGGCTATCCAAACCCTTATCCACCACAATTTCTTTGGCGACCCTGTGGAACTCGAACCGGTGGAGGATTTTCATCTCCTCGGTTTCAACATCGACCTCCCACAACGCACTATCACCTACATGCAACCTTCTCAACCCTGGAAAATCCGGGATTCCACAACCGCCGGGAGCCAGCGCTTGGCTCTATCAGGCCTCCAATCACGACTTCACACCATTCGAAAATACACATTTCCACCCTCCAGCGCTGACGCTGCTGCGGCCGAACTCGTGAACCTATATGTCCAAAAGGGGCATAACTACCACGCCTGCCACCGGTTTTTGAAAAAGCGCCGAATGCGGCGACCTGTGTGTGTCCAACCCTGGACAAAGGGTCTTCCACCACCACTCTTTCCATTTTACACAGGCAGGGGCGTGTGGCCTTCTTGTCCTACCACACGCAATGAAGCTATGGACAAGAAGGGGAAGCAGGGACTGATCATCCCTGTGTACCTGCTCGTTTCTCCACAAGCTGTTACTCCAATTTTCCATTTTTTGATTCATGGTCGTTTGCATGATACTTCCCACAAACCTATTCGTCCCCAGCAGCTGCGCCGCCGGTTTGCTTGCTGCCGTCTTTGTGACAACAATGTTAAACCTTTCAAGTGCTCGGACCCATGCACCTTTCTGTTCTCTCACCTTCCTTCCCAACCTGACTTGCGTTAACTGAAAACCCAAGTTCGAAGTGTGTGTGTGTGTGTCTGCGCTGTGTTTGCCAAAGCCAAGTGAGGGCACGGATCACTGTCGCACATGTCCGCACAAAAACCGCATGCGGCCGCTTGTACAAAATCCAGAACAATAGCAACGATGAAATAGCATGAAATAGTTTGGAGGATGTCGTCGTCGTGCAAACGCCGGAGAAGGTGAGAAAAAACTAGCGAGCATGCTTGAAAATCAAGGCCCCCCTTTCTTCAACAGTGAGGGTGCATGTTGCGGGCGTATTGTTTTTAGCTCAACTACAAAGCTTCTCTTCGATGAAAGGGGTAGTTTTTGTGTTGCGGGTAGGAAGCTGCGTCAAGAACTCGGAAAGGTGCGAGGGTGGGTTCTCGTGGCCTGGACCATTGTGGAATCATCCCTCCAAAGTTCTGCAGTCTGCTGGAGCCCACCCTGAACGGAGAGTTGTGTGACAAAACAATTCTAAGCCATCAGGAAACTTAAGGTGTGACGGGGGCTTGCAGAGATTTGCAAACAAGGACATGCAACGTTCACATCTTCTGTGAAAGCGATTGTATGGTGGGCGGCACTGACCTTGGCTTCACAAGCTCTGGTAGCGTGTCGGGGGGGCTTGTTGTGGCATATCATATCCATTCGGCTCAGTCACACCTGTGTGGAAGGGACTTGGGCAAGTGCTGTGCTGAGTCACCTGCAAATTCTCGCATGAACAGCAGCGGACACGTTCATCTTCCAGTTTTACCCCCTTGGAAACGAGTTTTTCAAACATCCTGAATCGAAAACTCGTGTACGGAAAAGTTTTGATGTAAAAAAGTGATCACCCTAGGGTTGTCCAAAAACAACATAACAACATATTGTGTATATACATATAGAAACCCTAAACTAGTAAAGGTAAACTTTGATAACAATCACAACAACAATAATAATAATAATAATAGTAGTAACTTAGTAACAATACAAAGCGCGTGATCAAAAAATCATGACGATGCTGGCAGGCGCCGGTGCTGGTGCTGGTTGTTTTCAGTTTCGAACACCAGCCAAGCTCCATGCGGCCTTGCTTGTGCAACAGCATGACTCAACGCTCATGGCTATGAGGGAGTCTTCCACACCAACCGGCAACAGGTTCTGAGCGTTGCCAAGAGATCTTTGTTCACTTGCGCAATGCGGTCAGAGAATCGAACCAAATCAACCAGTCAGCGTCACACACATGAAGCAGCTATCAGTGCTGGTGCTGGTGGTGGTGCTGCTGGTGATGCTCGTGGTGTTCGTGATGCTCGTGCTGCTGGTGATGTTCGTAGTGCTCGTGCTGCTCGTGCTGCTCGTGGTGCTCGTGCTGCTGGTGCTGCTGCTGCTGCTGGTGGTGGTGGTGGTGGTGGCGGTGGTGGGACGAAAAGACAAATGCGATAGATGGCTCTGCGAGAAGAAGACCTGTGTCAGTCTGGAGTATATAGTTTCCACAAAACATTTGTTGCGCCGCCGTCAAGCTGACAAATTCAAGACATGACATGATCAAGCCATTGCAAATAAAATGACAGCGGATTTATTTTGTATTTTGCATCCTCATTGCCAGGTACAGCACGCAGTTTGCCAGGTACGGTATTTTGCTGGCTTTGTTCGTTTGTTTTCCTGCTTTCTGTGCTCTAAGGGCTCGCTCCAAGGCATGTGATCTCATCCATTGCCAACATGTGGGAGATGCAGAGCTTGCTGCGAAGAGGGTAGGTGTGTTGACGATATCCTGGAAATCAGAGGGCGCAGCCTGAAAAAGCCCCAATCAAGTGCTGAAAGACGGTTTGGTTTGCTGCAAGAGTTGCTCCAGATCGCGAGAAACACACGTGGTAGGTCACAGGAATCGAACCTGGATTTGCAGCATTTTTTCATATTTCGCTCTGAGGGTCTGGCATCTTGAAGAAGGTGATATGCACTGAAGACTCTTTTCTCCACACGGGAGCGTGCTGCACCGACGAACGACCGCTTCTGCTGATGAAAAATGTTGAGAAACTGTTTTTCCAAATAGGCATTGGTGTCAAGCACGTACTCAAGCACGTCAGACCAGCTTCTGGAACCAAAGGACATCTGGAAGGCCATTTCCACAGACTTCTGTGGATCCGGCATCTGCTGCAGCACTTGGCTACCTTGGCTTCGCGACACTTGATGACTGAAGGCAGCCAGAACATTCACAAGGTCATACAATCTCCTCTATATAGTGAAACTAGCAACTTGAGCGCTTTGTAGCATATTTCCAAGTTGTCCGTTTAATCGGTTTGATCATGCTCATATGACTCATATGCCTCAAAATCAAACAATTTGCTCTGACTGGTTTCACTTGCATGTCTCGCTTTGGCCTGTCAATTGCCATGGTGCGAACATCGGCCGCCAATTGCGTCACTTCGTGATCTAGCCAGCTACTCAACGACCTATGATACAATGTTGCAAAGTTTGTTGCCCTTTCCACGTCTCCCTTGTTTGCTTGGACGATAAGAAGAAAGTGTTCCTCAACCAAGGCTTTCTGTGCCAGGAGGTCAGCCATTGCCTTCTTCTGCTTCTCTGTTTCAATCTCCTCAAGAGCTTCAACGCAAGTGGTCCGAAGAGCCAAATGTAGCGCGTGTAGAATTTGAGGCCGCTTCAGAGACACGGACTCCGAACGGTCAGCAAGGGCCCTCGACTCCAATTCATGTAAAGTCACACTTGCCAAATGTCGCAACCCGTCAGCGGCAGTGGCTTCATCAAGCACACCCCTGGCATGAACTTCGGATTTCAGCTGTTGCAAGGCGTGTTGGACAATCTGCTTCATTCTTGGAATCACGCTGTGCAGAATGCTGCCAGATTTCAAAGTCACGTCTGACAAATTTCCTCCAGCATGCAGCAGAGCCAAACCATGCATCTTCATAGTTCCCCACCAGCCAATGTGAAAATAACTGCTTTCCCATTCTGCATTGCTTTGTTCTAGGAGAGGCCTCATTCTCATGTTGTCAGGACCCAACTGGGCCAGCTGCTGGGGGCCTGCTTCCTTCAAAAGAGCCAAGGCTCCTGTTTCATGATGCAACTTGTTTACTGCACAGTTGAAAAGCAATGTAACTTCATGTGCTAAAGTCTGCCAAGTTTTCGTGAGACTTTGCAAGCGTTCCAGAAATGAAGCTTCATACATGCGCCACTCGCTCTCGAACAGCTCACGGGATTCATCTTCCGACAAGCAAGATCGATGATTGGAGTTGTCCAGGTGTCGGTTCAAGACTTTAGTAAAGTGAACCCAGAGTTCGTGCATGGCCCGCTCATCAGAGGCCTTCTTCAAATGCAGTTTCCATGTGTACAGGTGATTCTCAAAAGCCCACTCTATGGGTGTACGAATCTGCTGTCTTGCTTGCTCCTTGGCTGTTGCACTGAAGCGGGGGCTCGAAGCTTTTTGCTGAAAAAGCTCTTCCAGCTGCCCCACACACTCATCCCGCAGGTATGCCAATGCTCTGCTGAGTTCGAGGTCTGTGGTTTCCAAATCAAGGCGTGTTGGATTTGAGTGGATTCTGCTTACAAAGCTGTCCACCAGTTGCCGTGCTCTCTCATGGAAACCTGCTTGGTCTGCCCCATCCAATGCTTCTCGAACTGCACTCTTGGCAACATCTGCAAGCTCTCGCCGCTGTTCGATCTCATGAATTGTTCTGCAGTGCAGCAGTTGTTGGCCGAACTGATCCAAAGTTTCCCATACTGTGGCAGCATAGTCATACCAATGAACTAAGGACGAAAACTCTGGTAGTTCAGAACCTCTTCGATCACAGTCTTCCTGCAACCAGCGGAAAACGTCCGCACGGAGTTTTAGCACTTCTCGGGCAAACAGCTCACTGGTCCAACACACCTCCCGGCCCTGTCTCAATTCCGAACTCATGGCAGAAGGAAGGAGGAACACAGCTGTGCCGTCAAGCAAAATCAGGTCTTGGAGCGGGGACCCCAAAGTTTTTGCAGCTTCTTCCAAGTTGTTTTTCATCTGCTTCAACATATCTTCATGCACACTTCGAGAACGGTCATGCTGATCTCGGAGCACAAAAACCAGCCGCGGCTGCAAGCGTGAAAGGCGCAAGTGCTTCATCGCAAACAGGCAAACCTCCAGAAGGTCCTGAAGCTGTGCGGGGAAATGTTATACAACTCTATCGTGCCACATTCTGCCCGCTAGCACGTTTGGATCCTATCTGTGTGGTTGGTGAGGCGTTATTTACTGCCACGCATTATGTGTCAATATGTCTTTCAATAGAGACTGCCAGCTCTCAGCAGGCCGCCGGTTTCAACCACCTGTCGCTCCTCAACCCCAGATTATATAAGGTCTCAGCGCTTCTTTTCAAATCCTGCTGGGTTGTGCTCTCTCGATGTGGCATGTTGCCACTACAAAAGCTGGCCCCGGTGGTGTGCAACCAGGGTGGGACGCTAGTGGGAGGGAGCTTGAGCGTCGCGAAAAACACACATCGACCTTAAGGACACCAAGGTCTGAGCGCTTCTTTTCAAATCCTGCTGGGTTGTGCTCTATCAATGTGGCATGTTGCCACGACAAAAGCTGGCCACTCTTCCCAACATCTTCAACCTTCATCACCACAAACGGGGCCAGGCACTCTCCGGAATGAAGGCGTGCTTTAGCTCGATGGCTTTGAGCAGGATTTCATTGAAGTGCATGCAGAGGTGACTTACACGGCTGTGACTCTCGGAGGTCGTCTTCTGGGTATAGGTGGCGAAAACACTCTCCTGCAGATACACTTCAAGAACTCGGGTTGACAGCCAACGGCCCTTCCGACGCACGTACTCTGCGTCCTCGGTTTTCTGCAGCCAGAACGTGGCGCCTCCAGGACGGAGGCTTGACAAAGAGTAAGGCAGGTTCCCCTGCCCTTTTCCTCCAAACAAGCCAAGTGCTGATTGCAATGCAGCAAACCTTTTCCGCAAAGCCAAAGGTGAGCGGTTCCACAAAGGCTCCGAGGGCAGCAGGTGTGCAAAAACTGCATCAACAAGTGCCACAATGTCTTGTGGATCAATCCTCGACGATTGATGTCGAGCAGCTCTTCCTCTTGTCTTCGGGAGGCGAATCTTGAGGAGCGCATAGAGCACTCCTGGCGCAGCATCCCGAGGAAAAATTAAGTCCTCCCTCTTTGCAGCAAAGAGTTCGCCAATGCGAAGCACCCCTGTCCAACCCATGGCCAGCAACGCAGCCTCGCGACTCCAACCCCACAACAATGCTAACCCAACTGTGGCCAACAAAATTGAATGGGGTAGTGCAGTGTTATGCTCATGGGGCTCATCAACAACCCAGTTGAATGCCAAGTCCCAGCATGCAGCAACCTGCTTTCGCAAGACCGGCCTCCTGGCCGTGACAGCATTGATCGTCTCGGAGAACCTGCCGTAGGATTTCCCTGCAGTGTAGAGCTCCTTACCATATGCCACAAGGGCATCGGACACGGCTTCAGCGTCAAGCGAACGGGGCTTTAACAAAGCTTCAAGCGTAGTCCTCAGGCTCTCAGCCAGCCAGCCAGCGGTCGAGAGCGGCCAGCAGATGATGCCTGTTTCGGGTGCTCTGTAAGATCACCCTGTCTGCCTGCAGAACGTTCCCAGCACGTCTCTGAGCCCTCTGAGACTCATCCTTGTTGTTCGGATGCAGTGGCATGGCGTGGGCGGAGTGCAGAACGCCCAAATGGCTACTGCCTGGTACTGGGAACCAACCCTAAAACCGTTCAGGGGGTAACCAGAAGATCTCCGACACCCAGCCAACTCAGAAGTCCAAGCATCAGAGAAGTCATGGGAAAGTCCAGAACTGGAATGGGGCAGTTGGCTGCGACAGAGGATGACAAGGGCCAAAATCAAGGCCAAAGCACAAGTCCACGAATTGAAGAGCGCTGATTGAGGAGGGCGATCGAAAGAGCTGGCAACGCCAGGGCAAAGGCATAGGACAACCAAAAGATAGAGCCGAATCCAGTTGGCTGAAGCCCTTGAGAACTGACGAGCATGCAAGGTAGCGATCTCCCCTGGAGAGAAGCCTTTGAGCACTGAATGGCCAGCAGGTTCAAGAAAATCTTTGTCTCTGGAAGGCGCATCTGCAGTGTTGAGCCGGGTAGGTGCAAACCCGAAGGACGGGTGGATGTTGCCAGCAACTTGATAGGCGCAGGATCTCAGCAAAGAGGGTCTCAGCGCATGACATGAGGAGCGGCCTTTTGCATGTGCCCCTTTTGCCACCCTACTGTCCAGCAATGCAACAAATCTGCAATCGCCTCCACCATCAAGAAGCCTCCTCTCCAAAGCAACAAATGCCCTGCTCTCCAAGATATTGATGTGACCAGGTTTGCTCCAGGCCCAATCAGCGACTGTCGACCAGCCTCCTTGCAGGAGTAGATCATTCAGGACGACACTTTCGAGAGCACTGGACGGAGGTTCCTGAAATGGGCCTTGCTTCCTCAGAGCCGCAGCGAAACATTGCGCAACGCACCTTGCAACTCCAGGGCGATATACTGCTGAAGGTTTTGTAAACTTGCCTTCAATCCTCACATGTTGGTGACCTCCAGGGCAGGGCACCATAAGCCTCTTCATGTCAAGGCCCCATCCAAGGATCCCGAAGGGCTTCTTGTGCGGACTCCCAAAGGCACACGAGTTGAGCACTGCCTCTGAAAAGCCAATCTCAAGGAGGTAGCTCCACATTGACAGCCAGGCCATCTTTGACAAGTGGGGCGTCTCCAGCAAAGATGGAGCTCCACATCGCCAGGCGAACCATAGGATGGTGAAACTTCGAAAGGCCAGGAGGTTTTCCAGGAAGGTCTTTGGATCTCTTCTGTCATAGCCCAAGGGCTTCGTGTAGGATTTGGAAGCCGGATGCTGAGCAGGCGAGAAGGTAGTGCACGGTGGTTCACAAATGAGACTTCTGAACCTCTTCTCAAAGATCATTTGGCAGATCCAACCGAGAAGCTTGTCATTGCCAATGTCATGGTGAGGGCTCCTGGATAGGTCAATGGGCGGACATGTAGAGAGCCCAAGGTCCGCTGCAGCTGCGGAAAGGACCCCAGAGCCACCAAAGATCTCGACAAAATCGAAGGGGATCATCGTGAGGCCAGGATGTCAGCCTGGACCGGCATAGTGTCACAATCTTCACCAATACTCCTCAGCATCGAGCGGGCTGGGGCATCAAGCATAGTGTATGCTCCCTTCTTATCACCTCCGAGCCAAAGAGTTTCTGCGAGCTCACTGCTGACATGCTTGCTCGTGATGCCTCCTTTTGCATTTGAGGCGTCAGTGGCATAGATCTCCTCATGGTAGGGCACCAAGATGTCAGTAGCTGCTGGAACGCACATTACGCTGGCAAGCACTAGCTCCTCTGCAGCACTCCTGGTCAGCTTTATCACCTCATCAGCTCCTGCCTCTGTTTTGTTGCCGAAGGTGAAGAGCTTTGACAGCAGACAGCAGAGGCATCGTCTGAACATCAGGACGGATACCCAGTTCCCTGCCAGCCGAGAAGCTAGTGTTCTTGAGATCACCGGCAAACTAGCCGCCCTCAAAGAGAGAGCGATCATTGGAATCCTCTTTGACAAAGGCGTTGTTTCAGAGACAATTCCAGAGTTACAAGTTCGCTCATCAGCTAAGACTTCTGCGCCGATGACCTTGAAACTTTCAGTTCCTCTGATAGTCTTGTCGTCGGAGCCAAAGACATTCTCCCTCTTATAGATACGCTCGGCCTGATCGAGGTAGAAGACAGACTTCGCCTCTAGAGCAGATGCGCTAGCTCGTTCACGGCTGATGGAGAAGTAGTCGTCGATAACCAGTCCTTGCCAGGAGGGCCCACTTGGGAAGGCGTGATGACCCAAGATGGTCTCGGAGTCGACAAGCAGGCCTCCTCGCTTCAAGAGTTTTGTATGACTCTCCAAAGCGAACTCAACCCCAAGGTGATCTCCTTGAAAGAGGCTCTTGAAGCCACAAGCAACTGAAGTGACATCTTTCTCCTTGAAGGGCTTGACAGGGGGCATGCCATAACGGTCCCCATGTGTTTCCCGGGAAACTTTTCCCGCAGAGCTGTAGATCATCTCGTCCCAGGCATGGAGATCCCTCACTCTAGCTGTGTCAAAGGAGAAGGGGAGCACATTGGTCAGAGCTCGTTCCCGGGGGACTGCTGCTTGGTGGTAGAAGTCCTGTCGGCGGCACATCCGACCAATTTGTACCCTTAGGGACAATGAAGTGAAGTAGCGAGCTGCCCGCTAGCAAGTTTGCTGAAGGTCCTCTTGGGCGACGCTCTGCAGCGTTGAACCATCGACGGTCTCCAATTCTGAATTCTTGTGGGCATTGAAGACTCTGCAGGCCAGGCCGGAAGAGTGTCCAGCTGGAAACATGGCAAGTAGCCCCTTGCTATCCCACAATTTCACGAGCTTGAGGTTCTCCTCAAAGTCCTCACGAGAAAAGGTGGGGGCCGTCTGTTCCAAGAGGCAGCCCGTGCAGGAGGATACTCGGATCTTGAAATGGGAACTGTCGATGTACTCCTACATATTCCACTTGCCTTGTCCCGAGAGCTTTAGCCTGTCTGCATCGAGCGATCTGTAGGGATGGGGTGGAGAGAAAGCGGCCTCTGTTGTGAACCTGTGCTCTTCTCCTATCTTCCCAATCACAAGCTCAGCAGGGTCCTCATCTCGAGTGTGGTCACCATAGCCGAGCTGAGAAGCGGGGTTGGAGTAGGCGAACTTCTCCAACTCGACAAGCTTTGCAATGAATCCAAAACCTGATCTTCCCAGTGGCAGAGGATAGCTGCAACCTGAATGACCACACGCAGCGATTAGCGCCCGCAGGCTCCGAAAGACGGATTGCTGAGCCAGAGAAGGGCGCCTCCCAAGCACACTCAAAGGCGAAGGCCGAAACCCATTGTGGATGTAGTTCACTGCCATGGTAAGGACATGAAGAGCCCGTTGATGGCATAGCTTCTTCCACTTGCACTTTGAAAGCCTGAGGTCACTCTGCCGGCCGAATAGGCCATCATGCGGAATGGGCAGGGGAAACACTGTAGCTGAGCCGAATCCCGAGCGACGGACCTGAAAACTTCTGGCAAGAAAGGCCGCGAAGGCGGTCTTGGAACGTAGCACCCAGCGGATGAGGCAAGCAAGAAGGCCATCA